ATCTTAACTTTGAATAATCTGCCATAAGAGCCTACAGTAACCGTATCAGGGACATCACAAGAGCTCTCCACCCTGAGCAAAACTTTTGCTGATGAGAGATCAGATCTATTTTTAGATTCTACCTTCAAACAAATAAAATTTCCCCAACTGCTAGTAAGTTTTTCCAAGAAAACTTCATTCCAGCACGAAAAAGGCAGTCCACACAAATCTATTTGACACCAAGCCATAGGAACTCCTTTCTCGTTCTGTACTGGAGCCAACCAATCAAACAGGAAGACAACACCTCCTTCTTATTCTCCCAAACGTATGAACACTCATCAACCGAGTCAAAAGTGATGATGCAAGCCTTCCAAGCATAAACCCAACTCGAAACCTAGACACCAAAACCCTGTAAATACAAAGCTTCCTTAATCAAATCAAACTCGAAATTTGATTTCATAATCCCTGTTAATGAACGTTTAACCCATTCTGAATTGTCTAACGGAAAATACATCCATAAATTCCACACACCATTTGCCTTAATCTTGATACCCTCCAAGTTTGTCCCTGACCTAATTCCTCTTCTCCTGTTACCAGCAGACTTCACGACATCCTTGTACGACCTGTCATCCCTGAAGCTTTCCCACAACTCAGCGTTCCTCCCAATCCTTGAAGAATTTTGATTAGCAGACCTGAACTCCACCGTCCTTTTCCCATCAACAACAAACCTCGTACTGGCCTTCTGATACTTAGCAGCCCCTACAAAGATTCTTCTCCCATCAAACCACTTCCCATTCACGAACTGAATAGCATTCTTCCTTCTATCCTCATCAGCAAATTGAATAAAAGCAAAAGTAGAAGACTTGTAATGTGGCTTCTCTAAAAACCGTGGAATGAAAATTCTAAGAATCTGGCCGTAAGGACTAAAAAATCCATTAACACTCGCCTAGAGACCCTCTTACTCAGATTACTGATGAAAACGATCCAATCTACATCGAAAACAATGGATTTTCCCGACTTTTCTCTAAACCTCTCTCTACCCGTCGCACTCATTATATAAATTATCTTCCCGACTCCAATATTCAAAACTTGAGTAAAATCAAAGATAAATATCAATTGCCAAGGATAATTGCTTCTTTTCCAGCTACAACACCATTTCCCCTCGGGTATTGACCCAAATCAATCTCAAATAACAAAGTATCCTAAGGTCTAAGTTGCATATGGTCCAAGTCATCTACCATTAATTTATTCCTATCTTGATGTCATCTCTTGCTTCTTATGACTAAATAATCTTTTGTAGTATGTAATGGACATAAATCCATCTTTAAGGTGACGTTAGGTAACCACCCAACATTCATAAAGAATAAATGTTACATTTTAAGGATATTTCACAAAAGTTTCCCTTCGTCCAGGCAATCAGAGTATGATAATATCTATGCAACACTTCTTTGTTAGTTATTGACTAGATCAACTAATCTTTTAAAATATACCAATGGTTTTCAATGGGTATTTCACAAAAGTTTCCCTTCACTTATGCTAAATCATCTTCCACAAGTTCTTCCTCTAGGTCTACAGTGCATCAAACAAAAACATTGGACATCCATTCTACAGAACTTCATTTATTAGGTATTTTAACCCTATCTTCGTCAATAGTTTTAGTTTTACAAAAATTAATATTCCGTTTTGGTCACCCTCAATTTTTAGATTCTAAGTACTCCTTCAAAGCTCTCATCTACTAAAGTAGTAATATTCATCTTTATTCCTTTTCTTTTCTCTTCGATGGCGAGTAAGGTGAGAAGATCTGTTGGAAAAAATTGTCACAGTGATCATTTTCAACATTCAAGAGTGTCTTCATCACCAAGGTCTTTGGTTATTTTTCGATAAATATGGTGAGGTGGTGGATTCTTTCATCCCAGATAAAAGAAGCAAGAGAGAGAGTAGGTTTGGCTTTGTTCGTTTCACCAGACTGGAGGACGCGAGGAAGGCTATCAACTGTGTTGATAAATCTTGGATTCAATGTAACAAAGTTAGAGTTTTCATGGCGAGATATCATCCTCGTGATGTTTTCTGAAGGAAGAAGTTCTCTGATCCATATCCAGTCGAGGGCTAGAGTTTAGTGGAGGATGCTAGTCATACTGAGGCTCCCATTGTTGGTTCTGTTGACGAGGATAAGCTCTCAACTCTCAAAGACAGCTTGGTAGGATAGTGCATAAATTTTATTAAGATGAAAGAGTTGGCTGCTATTATGCACAAGGCATTGTTGGTCCGAAAATTATGAGATTAAACGGGCTAGCAATTTTAATCTTATTTGAAGATGCAGAGAGCATGGACTTTACATAATCAGATTGGGGCGTTGAATAAATGTTTCGACAGAGTGGAAGTTTGGTCGGAAGATTTTAAGTGCAGCAGCCGTCGGGCATGGCTTTCGTGCAAAGGGATCCCTCTGTTTGTGTGGAGTCTCTCCACCTTCAGAAATATTGCACTCAAATAGGGAGTTCTTATATCCATTGAGGACGGGACCTTAAATAACGGCTCTTTTGATAGGGCTTTGCTACAGATCATCACGAACTGTCAAGCTCGTGTGGAAAAATCCATTGTTTTGAAAGTCGGGAATAGGCTCTTTAAAGTTCATGTTTTTGAGTTTGATCCATGTTTCAGCCCAGAATCTGTCTGGGTAGAGTCGTCTTCGATGGAAGAGGCAGTCGCCTCCCCGTTGTCTAAGGTGGGGGAGCTCGTTGGTGTCTCTCCAGTTAAGTTTCCCGAGTTGGAGGTGTGTGCTGTAGAAGCAGGAAGAAACGTTAACTCATCGGAGGTGCAGTGTCCCGAGAGGTGTTCTGAGTTAGAAGAAAATGTTTTATGTTGTATGGGGAGTAGTACTAGAGGTTGCTTCTCGTTGGGTGAGGGCGAGGAGGACAGGAACATAGGCGAAGAAATGATGATGGGTCTGAGGAGCGCCGTTGCGGATCAGGGGATGGCTCATTTGCAAATTGAGGAAGTGGGGGAACACGAGACAGTGCTGGTGCACACAGAGAGAGAGGAAGTGGATGTCTATAAGGATAGTTGTTTGCCTGCATGTGGCTATGAGGGCATTAAGGATTATTTAATTGATTTTCCCATCCTGGATGGTCGTTTAGTGTCAAGGGAGTTGGAAGATGTGAGCTTACAGGAAAACGTGGATCTGTTGGTTCACGCAGAGAGGGAGAAAGAAGATGCATACAGGAAAAGTTGTGAGCCTGCACGTGCTTTTGAGGGCTCGAAGGATTATTGTAAAAATTTCCCCATGTTGGATGGTCGAGTTGAGTCAAAGGTGGTGGTGGATAGGTTTAACGAGGGCCTTTCTTACAACTGCGCTTTCAAAAATCCAAAGAGTAAGGCAAGGCAGAACATGAGACCTAAGGAGGGTTTCGGCAACAAATATAGCTTCGTCCAAATATTTCAAGAGAATTTTACGGCTCCCAAAAGGAAGTCTAGGGGTTACCAAAGCAGGAGCCATCAGAGTAAGGTGCAGCGAGAGGAAGAGGTGTCTGCTATTGAAGGCAGATTCATATATGATTCTGACTTTCCAGAATTGGGGCAGTCCCAACAGAAGGATGATCTTGAAGGCTCAAGAGTGTTTCTGATTTCGGAACATTATAGCTGTGGAAGGATTGAAAGATACAATTTGTAGTGACTAGTTTTAGGGGATTCGATTATGATTTTTGAGTTTGGAGTTGGAGGTTCGGATGGTCTCCGATATCAAGTCGTGCAATTAGTGGTTGATTGGCGGTTAGAGTTTTTTCGAAATTTGTTTTGTTCAATTATTTTCGTGTGCAAGCGCTTGGCTGTAGTGTTTGAATTTGGTTTATATGTTTTGTGTTAGCTGTTATATCTGGCTTCTTTACAGCTGTATTGTGTTGTATTTCGGGCCAAATTTGGGCTTTTTGTTTGGTTAGTCATTTAGAGCTGTTGGTAGATGTGTATTTGGCAGCAAGGTATGGGCAGGGTTTGGGATTCCTAGGTTGTTGTTTGGTGTGCTCGTGGAGCAGCAGGGCATGGGTGATGGGGAATCGAGTTGCAAGTGGGGTGCAGGGCTGCTGGGCGTTGTACGTTGGGATGCAGCAAAATGGTATGGGCATCAGCCACCTTCTCGTGGGTGGCATGAGCACTAGCATGGGAAAGATTAAAAAATATTTACTGGGTGCTGTTTTGGTGTGTTCGGGTTGTTATTGTAAAGGGATTGTGTGTCTTAACTTTATGTAATCTTTTATTATTAATGAAATTTGAGGCACTCTTTTCCTCCTTCCGCTGATTAAGGAACACCGTTTGGTGTTCTGTTAATCATGAGGGGGGATTTTAATGAGGCCTCCACTTCCTATAAAAAAAAGTAGTAATATTAAAAAATAGTATACCAAGAAATATATATCATCTTAAACTATTCCAAAAAAGTCCCTCCACTAATAAAGCAAAGAGATAAGAGTTTTGACCGATCATTGGTGTGACAGTAATTCAATATGAAATTCACTACAATCACCTCATTAGTAGTTACAACTGAAACTACTTGCTCATGACTATCTCATCTTCAGTCATACACCATTTATCTCAAAACCAAGGGAACAAATATTTTCAGCTAAAAGAAAAAAGGGTTAGATTTTTTTTTGGATTGAAAAGACCTAAATCCCCTTAGCAACAATAAAGCAAAAACTTTTGCATAGAGATCTCAAAAACCAACTAACTTATATTTTGAAATGACCAAGCATAAATATGTTTTTCATCTTAATATACAACAAAGTTTCAAACTTTCAAACAAGAAGAATAAATGAAAACTAAGAAAAAAAATAAAGCTCGGTATGTTAGAGAAAATTATCATTATATAGAAGACATCAGCAAACATAATATGAATAGCAACTATCAGAATTTAAGCAAGGAAAACAAGGAACTGCTAAGAAAACCAAACTAAAGAAATGAACAATCACCTTGGATTAGTAAATATGACATGGATATAAGTAAAAATTGAAACACTAACTATAATTGAGGTAGCATACAGATTCATGTGATTGACCCGGTGGAACAATTTCGGACAGGAACTCTTGAGCAGCTTCCACCAAATTAAAAATCATCACTCGTCCTTCTCGAGCATTAGCAATTGCCTGTTTTTTTTTGGGGGGGGCGGACGACAGTTAGACAATAGTAGTCACTAGGTATAAGATTTTAAAAGTGTATGCAAACAAATTCTGAGCTTTTGATAAGTATACAACATGCTCTTTGAGGAAAAATGATCTGTAGACCCAAGCTTCTAGAATGTTAAAGACAAAGTAGTTCCATTCGACATCACACAAATTATTGGCATCATTTATTATTGTCGCCAGCATAACTTTAATGTTCCTATAAAAAAAGCATAACTTTAATGTAATAGCACAAAAGAGCACATGTCAACACAGACCTGATCATTAAGTAGAGACAAAAGGCTATCAGCCTGGCTTTTTGTAAGGCCTTTCTCTGGACTGATCTGCAACTTTGGGCACTTGTATGGATATCCTGGCAAGCACCTGATAAACAAGTAAAAGAAAAAAAAATAAAGGAAACATATGTTGATGTAAAATGACACACGATACAACAATTGTTTACTATTTAACTTACCTAACTAAGAGAAGAGCAGATATATCAAGGTCCTCATAACCCATATCCTTCGAATAAGGCCTGTTCAGTTTCCACAACTAGCAAAACTGAGATAAGGGAAAACAAGAGCTCATCTGACAATTAAATGCAGAGCAAATAGAAAAACCTGAGCTTAATGATGATTTGCGGAGGTGGCCCTGAGTCAACTTTGCAGTCGTCCTGAAATATTGCACCCCTACAAGTATAGAAATTTGACATAAAATACATTTGAACCATATCATATGTTACTCAAAATTAGGTCTTTGATTTGATTTCATTTTAAAAAATGGAAACTTATAGATATTCTAAATTCTTAAAAGAAAAAAAAAACTTGCAAACATGCTAAAGAGGGAACTAACTTTCAATAGAACCCCTCAACAAATAATGGTTTCAAATGTCAATAAAATGGTAATACTAAGAGTTCAACGTGTCTATGCCGAATTCATGTATTGTAATGCATATTTAGGAAAAGATGCACGCTCATAGGATATATATGGCATATATATAAGACTCCATACTAACATAAAAATAAATGACCACTGTGTTTAAATACAAATAGCTTTTGGCTTTAAGGCTTAAGCACATTTCTTTCCAAACATCGTTAAGTTCTACAATTTGTGTGACGATAATAAACGAGTTCCAATCTAAAATCAATCAGCAGTAGGTCAAGAGGCCATTTCTGTATTGAAGCACATGGGATTTACTATTATGACCACTTAAATACTTTCAAGTTTCAACCAACAAATGCTCCATAACACCCTTGATACCTTGACTTACTACTCACACGAATTCTTCCAACACCCATGTAAAGTTTCAACACTACAAAATTAAGCAATCGATGTTCACACAAAAAATAAGACATTTGTCTATCATTTAGGGACGGCCATATGAATCATATTGCAGTACTCTGCCCCCATTTAAGACCATATTCTCAGTAACTTCAGTAAAAAATAAAAAAGGATTAATTTTGTCTAATCTAGCGAGAAAAAATTAACAAAGAAAAAAGAACAATAAGAAAATGGATTAAGAGATAATTAGCATACAGAGCAGTGATCTCTTCAGAGAGAAGCTCATTATCATCTTCATCGTGGGAAGTATGGTCTTTCAATGAAGCCCTTCCTTTACTCCGCCTTCCCCCTCCTTTCTTCTTCTTCTTTGAACCCATTTATCAAACCCAATCATCCAAAAACCCAAACAAGGTCTTGGCTCATAAAGGGAATAATGATGGGTTTTATTTATTTTGAACAGATATGTGGGTGTGGGTATACAAATACAATAATAAATGTGAAGAGATTTAATGGTGGCTGTGATGGCGCTGAAGCTTCGGTTTCGAACAGAGAGAGGTATATAGAAAGAAGTGCTCAAAACTCTCAGATCCTTCGATTCTCAAATTTATATATTTTGGCTAAATTATAAATTTCATCACTTAATGTTCTTATAATATTTATATCAGTCACTAAAAATTAAATATATTCACTTTAATCACTAAATTTTAGATATTGGATTTTCTATTACTCCTCCATCTCTTCAGTTGTTGGATGATGACTTGGCATTTTTATTAATTTATGAGTTGTGATGTAAGCATCAACTAATATTTTGTTAATATTATTTTTATATTTTTTATTAAATTGAACTTTCTATCAGTCATACCTCGACGTTAATGTCTTAATCAGTAATCAAACATTCGTCCATGTTTGAATCGTTATGCCTTATTCTCTAAAATCCAATTTATCTCTAATGACACTGCTATCAATTAATAAAATTATCAACTCAATTCTTCGCCTCTAATGGCAAAAGTAAAGGTGTAAATGAACATAACGTTCGGTGGACTGTTCATGAATAGTTCATATCGTGTTTACTTGTTAAGCTAAATAAAAGAGTATAAACAAAACTTTTTATGTTCATTTAAATAAATGAATGAACACTAACAGATGTGTGTTCGATTCATTTATGTTCACGAATAAAATCGTTTATCCATTCATTCATTTATGTTCACGAATAAGATTATTTACCCGGTTTTTCTTTTCATTTTTTTTTTTTTACATTTTAAATATTGGTGAAGACAGGGATTAAACTAAACACGTGGTAAAAGTTGAAATTTAAACTGTGAATTTTAAGAAGTTTAAGTAATAGTAGCATAATTCTATCATTTTCTTTAGCTCGCAAATAAAAAGGTAAAACAAAAAATTAAACATATAAACGAATGATAAGCGAACACTAAACGAACGTTGAACAAGTATTAAATGAGCACTAAATGAATACGTTCGCGAATAATAAATAAACAAATACAAACACATTCACAAATAAATAAACGGACACGAACTAAACATGAACACCTTCAAAAGTAAACAAACGAATACAAACACAATCTTATTAATTTAAACTTGGTTCATTTACACCCCTAGACAAGACTTAGACCTCGTCTTCATTGTAAACTATATAACATCTTTTCTCCAAACTCTAAATCTTGAAAACATCAATTCATCACCTCTGAACACAATTCATTATTTCTTTGAGTTGGCATGAGATCCCTATCTATTGTTTTTTCTTTTAGTTATCTTTCTTCTCGTGTCTATTGATTGAGTTAGATTTGTTTGTGTCTATATGGTTACTTGATGTCTATTATGGTGATATTAGAATAGTGGTTGGTATATAACTGTAGCAATATTGTTTGAAAATGTTATTGTCGTAAATAACAATATGAAATTGAATTACACCAATAACGGTGGATCACAGTCTCAACTTAATGGAAAACGATCAATTGCGACAATAACAAATCATTATTTCTGTTACCTTAAATTTTAAAAAATATAATAGTATGTTACTGTAATTAAAATTATTATGTTTTATAATAAATGATATAAAATAAAGAAAACTTACAACTTTGATATCATAGTGATCATAACGGTAACCGTAATAAACTAAAAAAAAACGCGATATGAAGATTCCATGATGCGTTTTAACGTTGTATTTAATTTACTGCAACTTTCTGAACGTTTTCGTAAATTTGAACTTTTAATTAATGTTGCTAACCGGCAGGTTATTGAAGCAGTGAGCCCATAGACGATGACATTGAAGACATATAATCTTAGGTCTGAATCAATTCTCTTATAATGCTCGATTCTGATTTGTAATTGTCGATGATAGTTCAATAATTTGATTTTCTGTTGTATTTCATTTATCAATACAATTAGATTTGTTTGTATTTGTCTTTTGTTTGAGTTTTTTTTGGATGAGTTTTAATCTCTTCCATGTATGATCATTATATGATCTCGAGTGGCTAGTTCATTGTATAAATAATTATAAGAAAATGTTCTAATCATATGTTTAATTTTATTGTAAAATTAACAATATTATTCGGTTAAAAATATATTTTATTGTAATGGCTCCTATTTCCAAATACATAAGAGAGGTTATGCAGCGTTGACGGCTATTTTGAGTCCACCCTCGCAGTGGCCGGGGAAACTGCAGATGAAATAATTATCACCCTTTTTAAGTGTGATTAGATCATCTCCGGTCTCGAATCTCGGTGCACTTATCGGCCTTTCGCATGCTTCATATGCTTCCTTATCCACCACCATCACGTCGTGAATTGCTCGATTATACGTAAACTCTGCAAGTAGTTGTGCATGTAGGGTTTACATACGTTATAAAGAGATTAAGATAATTCTAAACATATATTATCTTGTATTCAAGTCAGATTATTAAAAAAGAACTTACCGAGGACATCGCCAGCTTTGAAGCTTTTTCCGTTGGGCCAACTATTGACACCGAAATCCCAACCAGAGGCATCACCCACCATGAAAGTGGTCGCAAAGCTCGTCTTCATGCTAAGCAATAGGAATAACATTACAGTCATGCACATCATTGCATTGCCTCTTTCTTGGGCCATTTCTTCCTCTCTTTTTTTATATTTATGCTAATATAAAGATTGAAAATTTGTGAGAATTTGAGAGGTTTATGGTGGAAATTGTAAATGAGTATTACCTTTTTATAGCCATTTATTTTCAGATTTTTATTTTTGAAAAATGGAAACTCCAAAATCAAATCTCTTTTTATTTAATTTAGAATTAATATATAAGGAAATATATCTGTCGTACATAATGAATTCACTATTTTACAAAATCACAATACAATCACAGTTTTTGTTTATTTACTTAGATAATATGATCCCATATTTTATGTTTATTAATTTTTTTTAAAAAAAGATCTTGTATTAATGATGAGATTTTTTTAAAAAAATCGTATTAATGATGGAATTATATCTAATTCATTACTTATTATAATAGTTAAATGCTTAAATAAAGGTCTAATATTTTCAGGGCTGTTCACATAAGTGAAAATTTTGTGAACGGACATGTTATCTCTTTCAAAGGTTTTAGATTTGAGAAAGTGTGTACGTGTTATCAAGAGGATGAGAAAATTTTGAACATCAATGAACTGATTAATATTGAGTCTATGAATAAAAACAAAGTATAGGAATAACTATGTTATATAATTTTTTAAAGCTAATATTTTTAGAAGAATTATAAAACTACAATATTATTTCATTGAATATTAAAGGTGTAAATTTTAAAATTAAGTTGAATATTTCATTAAGGTTGTTCTTTCTCTCGATTTTTTGTTTGCTGGTGAATAAAAATAGATACAAAAGCTTGGTTTGTGAGGATTTCGAGTTCATTTTTCAGTAAAAAATTATAATTGAATTAAGGTTGCGTTTGGTTCACGAAATGTAAGATTACCGGTGGGAATGTAAGATTACAAGAGAATATGATTACTGAGAATGTTGTATTTTGTGTTTGGTTGGCTTAGCAGAAATGTAAGATTACCGTGTTTGGTTAAAGGAATAAAAGATTATTGGAATATATATTTGACCAAATTGTCCTTAATATATATTTGTTTTTTTAACAAGTTGGAAAATATTTATATATTTTCTTTAAAAAAATTAAATTCATAAAATTTATATAATTTTTTTTACAAAATTGAAAATATAAAAAGGTTTAAGGAAAGGGTAAAATTTTATTTTAACCCCTGAACTTCATATAAAATTTTTATTATAGACTTTTTTTGTAAATCTAAAATAATTTAAAGATAAATTTGTAATTTAACTTTCATAGAATTTTTATTATTCAATGACATAAGAAATATATTTTTTGAAAAAAAATTAAGGGCATTTTAGTCCAAAATACCGATAATCCAATAATACCTAAGGAAAGGGATGTAATGACATTCCCATGGGAATCTCACATTCCCCCATCTAAACGCCCCCTAAGGGTTTTATATTAGCTGAGGTAAAAAAAAAACTTGTTTTTAATGAATTGGAATATCATTAAACACAATTAGTATATGTTCATAACATCTCTTAATCATTGACAACACACTCTGCATACGTAACTACTCAAATTCATAATTGATATTAGTCACTATTCTTAAAATAATTGATTGTTCTTAAAATAAGTGAAATGCAAGAAAAAATATAAAATATGATGGTGTATGCATATGTATTGTGAGAGATATTTGAGCTTAAAATCACTTTTCAAGGGCAATAGTTATGGGCGATGTGTTGTTCTTAACTATGTTCGAGATATATTCAATGTGTTGTGAGATATTTTTATAATGTTATAATACTAATTAATTTAAATTTAATTTTTTTTTACATAATCACATACAATATACAAATATATTTTTTATATGTTTTCATATGCGATATACATATATTATGAAAAGTTAAGGGACTCAACTCATACTTATAAATCAGTCCACTAATTATTAAAAATTTAAATTATTCGAGTCATATTTTATAACTCAAATTTTATTTGAATTTTTTTCGAGTCAATTCATATCAAATCTTTGAGTACCGAGTTGAGTCAAAAAAATTAATTTTTTTAGTTGAATCGAGTTTTCCTCGCTCTATTTGTGTTAAAACAAAATCAGAGAAGGAATCAAGTTTTTAAAATCAACCAAATAATTACATTATCCTACAAATGTGATTCAAAAAGAATTATCAAAGTCATGCTCTCTTGTACAATACTATACCATGCCCATCCTTCCTCTCTTCTACTTGCTTCTTTCATTTTGGTTCAATGACGGGTTGAGCTTTAATGGATCCACACACACACACACAAAAATGAATAAAATAGACAATTATCTGGAAACTACATGTACATATGTATCAAACCTCTTTAGCATCCAGCCGCTTTCAAGAACTTGTCATAAGGACTTGATGGTGGTAATTTGAAAGAATGATGGCCGTATTCTAGGGCACAAAGGGCAAATTGTCCCCCTACCATGAACTTGCTCCTTCCCAATTACCTTCAGCTCTTCATAAAGCTCTACTTCCTAATGTAGGAAAAGAATAGCCCACCAAAGATATTATTATTGGTTGAATCAAATATTATCAAGGGTAGACTACGTATTTAGTCACCCACCTATTCCCACGGTTCCGTTTTGGTCACCCAACTATTTCTTTCTTCCAAAATAATAACTAATGTTATGTTTTGGTCACCCACCGTTAAAAAATAAATAGAACTTCTGGCGCGAATTTGTTTTAATTTTCAATTATGACATGGTATTACCTTATGATTACATATCAATATCACCGTTAAGTTTTTAACGATAGGTGACCAAAACGGAACTGTGGGAAATAGGTGAGTGACTAAATACATAGTTTACCCTATTATCAATGGTACTGAGAGGTGATGATACAGGTTATGCTTTGGCTTAGGGAAGAATGCAGATGGATTTAATACATTAATACGGATGTTTGTCATGCGTTTAAGACAGACTCACCACATTCGGTAAACAGAGGACCTCATTCGTATTTTCCTCCAGGGTTGCCTTTCCATCCTGTTGATGCTTGAAGCTATGAAGAACTGACATCTTCTGCTGTTTGCCCAATACAAGAGCTTCACACTGACTCCTCATCTGGTCATAGGGAATGGGTGTAACCGAAACCGAAAAGCTTGCAACTTGTCGTGCTGTTTCCAGAACCTGTGGCAAGCAATCAGTATAATTTGTGAGAAAATGAATGCTAGATAAATCTCTAGAGACAGTTATAAAGAATATGAAGTTTAGCTCTTTGTACCCAACAGCTAGGAATCAGGTAAATGGCTCAATAAGATGGATTAAATGGTTTTTCTCCTCTTCAATTTCAACTAGGGAGGTTGGTTAGAGTTCTAAAAACAACAAAACTTATTGCATGACAAAAGGTACAAAGCTGCATAAATTACACTCAAGAGTTAAAACTCGATTGATTTGGCTAAGCCCTATTTATTAGTTTGTAACATGAATTAAAATTTATGTCATATTATATGCACTTCGCATTTTCAGACCATCTGACCAGAATCTTAAGGAAAAGGAAAAGCTTAATACGTTCAAAATTGCAGCATCATGTAGCAAAACCTTTTCAATCTTCCTGAGATGCAATTTTTAAATTGCACCAGAATCCAACGAAAACGAAGTAGCCTCTACCTGTTTAAGATTTTATAGACTACACGAACTCAGATGAAGAAAGACAGAAGGGCCTACGGAATCCAAAAGTTTATACCATCCAGGGAGTTCTTATAGACTCTACCTAAGGAGTTCAACAAAGACGTGCTATCCTTTTACAGTTTTATTGTTTCCAAATTCATTGAGAAATTATACTACATATTGTTATAGATATAAAGAACTGATCATCTTACCGAATCCAAAAGTTCATTAACACTTAGAACATCTAGTGTACTGAGGGATAGAGATGCTTTGCGATCCGACTGACTTCCATTGGCTTCAGGGAAGGCTTCATCATCTGTTATTGCGGCTAGAGGCAAAATCTGGAAGAAGAAAAAAAACGAGTCAACCAAACTCATTGCATTGTAGGATACAAAGTAATCCAGGTAAGGTCTACCTCTTCAAATGGCTGAAACTCTATTTGTGCAAGAGGAGAACATCGTCTTGGTGTCTCCATAAAAAATGGAGCACCAAATGGGTATGCATCGTCGGGTGAAAAGCCCTCAAGAATTTGTTTCTTAATACTTGATAAGTCATCCTATAAGAAGCAGACAAGGGTTGATAAGAATCTTGTTTGCTACCAAGTTCCCATAAATTTATTAATTCCTTTTCACAAGAAATACGGAACAACTTGGTATTTAGTAACATGCAACACCTGTTTGTTAAAACTAAAAATGCTCCTCCAAAAGCATTGACAAATAAAATCACTATTACCCTTTACAAGCCACACAACTGAACAAGGGGGAGAGGGCAACAATCCACTGATAACATTACTCCTAGTCCCAACTACAGTTTGTTTTATGATGATTCTTTCTATTACTTAACAAATAGCTTCTCCGCTCACAACCAAAATCTTTCATATAAAAAGTTTATTAAACGAGGAATCCTGAAATATCTAAGCATATAGGTTCTGCACGTTCATCACTATAAAAAATCTACGCCGATGTAACTTGTAATGTTACTCAACCAAAATAATAATAATAATCACCCTATTATAGTAGATACTTATCACACTCAATACAGCTAGGGGAGATGGCAGAGTTAAACCTTAAAACAAAAGATCAATAATCAAAAACTGAAACATTACCTCAGAAAATTTGTCAAATTTAGTCATGAAATGAGAAATGACTGTCTCCTTCAAATGAAGATCATCTAGCTCTATTGCCAAGAAAGTTTTTGATGCAGCAGCAGCATCTTCCTTTGATCCATATGCTACCCTGTCCACATCAGACTTAACATGCACAGCCTGGAGTCTCATATCCTCAACTAATCTGAGATAAGGATCAACCTGTGTGAAGGATGATAGAATCAAGTATCAGCATGTTGGCAAAGATAACAAAACCGCTGTATCAATATAAATAACCTTCTGATATAGAGTAAGGATAAAAAACTTACTGTTTGATCTGTCAGAGATGCTTTAACAATAAGAATTAATTCTGGAAGATTGCCTGCCCTGG